AAAACTATGCGTAAAGCTCACAATGGTGCAAAGTTAGACGAACTCAGAATTAGAAGTTTATTATGAGGAATTGTTTGCATTAACAGTGACAAAAAGAAATTAAGTATTGGCTTACAGAGCTGAATGGGTTCCCCTCCAAATCCATACACAGGTAACGGCTGCTTTTAACGCCGAGGATGGCAACGCGCTCCCTTGTTTCAGCTTTCAGTAAAATCACACCTGCAGAGAAGAAAAGGCAATGAACATTAGTGTGTAAAGGACAGAACTTCATAATGTTACATCACAAAAATCAAACTGAAACTTTTCAAAAACACATCTTACTATATGAACTCCTGACTGTAGTTTTGCGCACAGTGCCATCTAATCTGATCTCCAAGTAGAAGTTGTTGAGGTCTGTGGATGTCTGCAGGTGAACATATCTCCTCGGGTTCCCCCAGTTGGATCCAACCAGCGGCGACGGGTTCGGGGCCGTTTCCCCAAGAGGAAATCCCTGGAGGACAGCGAGTAAGAGCGCCAGCACAGTGTCCCTCAATCCAAATCCTCTGTTGACGTCCATCCTGGAGCAAACTGCTTGTTTCCACTGCGAGCTGCTGGAAGTTTTCAGATGCTCTGTTGTCCCAAAGTTTGGAGACAGTTCCTATTTAAAGCCCCCCGAGTGCCACTCCTGCTCACATCCTTTGCGTAAAAAAAAAGAAACTCGCCCCCAAAGCAGATGTGGGGGTTTGCAGCAGCGGAAGGGCCACTTCCACCTCTGTCTGTTTATCCCAATGCCCTGGACTCTTATTTTTGGTGACACGTCTTGACTCATCCACCTTAAACCTTATTATAAGCCTATTTCCTAATTGGCCAAAGTCCACTGTATTTTTTTTGTTGTTGTTGTTGTTTAGACTGGAAACACTGCACATTGGGCAATATAAAAAATAAAGAAAAATAAAACAAAAATAAAGCACATAAATGCAGACGAGCGTAAAAAGTATGTGTTCATTAAATCAGATACATATAGTCTACTATTAGTTAGTTGTCAATTTATTAAACTTATTTCTTTAATTCGTGTAAACTCTAGAATTGCTTAATTAATTAATTAATTAAGCGTCATATTAGATATCTCACAGTTTTGTTTAACCACAATAAACCGGAAGTTTAGTCATAGTTTGAAGTGAGTTCAGTTTGCTGCTTTTACGCACCTTCCAAAGTCGACATTGTCGCCATTTCACCAGCAGAGGGAGCCACTCATTCATTTAGTGTAGTTTTACTGGAAGACTGACTGGCTAAACTATTTTTGGATGCTGTAGTTTCAGCACAGGACACATTGAACGGTATACCAGTATGAGGAATACTCCTAAAAGTTGATCTTGTTTTAGGGAATCCACTAAAAGCTTTCCACAGCTTCTCTTCAAAATAATGTAATCTATCTCTGGGGAATTAAATTCACAAAATCAAGATATTGTAGTGCAGTTAAATCTTCCCCTCCACTCAAAAATATGTTTTTCCTCTTGTTCCTACAGTTTGATGTTTTAGCTTCACTGTGTAGAATGATGTATGTGTAGAGTCTGACACTAGAAAGATGTTTTCACATTCATCTGCTGAAAGTAGAAAAGTAGAAAATCACGAGCATGATTTGTGACATCACAAATAGTTTGGAAGTCAACCCTGGTTCAGTGTGCAACTTATACATATATAAGGGTGACGTAGAAACTTAAAGCCACCGGTGCACATACACCGAGAAAGGACCGTACAGTGAAGTAGGAGACATGACATTCATTTGAAAATGAACACATTTTGTGGAGTAGATGCATTTTTAAGGATTTTAATTAGGAAATTATACTTTTTAAGGAAGAAACATACCAGATGCACATTATATTTGTATATAGGGGATCTTTAAACTTTTACATTTGCTCCAGTACTTTACACAAGTACAGTTTTGAAGTTCTTGTATTATATGCTTCTTTATACCCCTCTATGTCAGGGGGAAATACTTTACTTACTTTTTACTTCACCACATTTATCTGACGGCTATACTTACTGGTTACTTTAAGATCTGGATTTACATGAGGAAGCATATGATGAGCTTATAAAATACAACCATTTTGAAAGATTAAATCAGTGACTCATGACCCCTTAAAGGTCCAGTGTG